AGGCTTTCCAAATGTATTGTGATGTTTGACGTCATGACGTTGAAGTGAGACCTACTTTTAAACAATTAACCTTGGCATCATTTTTTAGCTCACCTCAACGAAGTTGGGGGGAGCTTATGTGATACCCTCGGCGTCGGCGTCGGTGTCGGCGTCGGCGTCCCAGGTTAAGGTTAAGTTTTTTGGAGCAGTTTTCTTTTTAATTACTTCTGTGTCCTATACTGATTAGACATGCATGGAAGATGGTTTTAGTGTGTTTTATTGTACCAGACAAAGTTTCAGATGCTGCAATTTCAGCAAAGGAATTACCAGGTTAATGTTTTTGGAGCAGGTTAACATTTTTGGTGCAGTTTTTTGTGTGGGTTTTATTTCCAAGTAACTATAAGCCCTATGTTGACCAAACTTGCATGGATGATACATCTAAGGATGCATACTACCGGGCTAAGGATGCATACTACCGGGCTTGCTTCGGATGCTGAATCTGACCTACATTTTCAGGTTGAGTGAACAGGTTAAAGTTTTCGGTGTAGGTTTCATTTCCAAGTAACTATAAGCCCTATGTTGACCAAACTTGCATGGATGATACATCTAAGGATGCATACTACCGGGCTTGCTTCGGATGCTGAATCTGACCTACATTTTCCGGTTGAGTGAACAGGTTAAAGTTTTTGGTGCAGGTTTCATTTGCAAGTAACTATAAGCCCTATGTTGACCAAACTTGCATGGATGATACATCTAAGGATGCATACTACCGGGCTTGTTTCGGATGCTGAATCTGACCTACATTTTCCAGTTGAGTGAACAGGTTAAAGTTTTTGGTGTAGGTTTCATTTCCAAGTAACTATAAGCCCTATGTTGACCAAACTTGCATGGATGATACATCTAAGGATGCATACTACCGGGCTTGTTTCGGATGCTGAATCTGACCTACATTTTCCAGTTGAGTGAACAGGTTAATGTTTTTGGTGCAGGTTTCATTTGCAAGTAACTATAAGCCCTATGTTGACCAAACTTGCATGGATGATACATCTAAGGATGCACACTACCAGGCTTGCTTCGGATGCTGAATCTGACCTACATTTTCCGATTGAGTGAATAGTTAAAAGTTTTTGGTGCAGGTTTCATTTCCAAGGAACTATGAGTTCTTTAATGACCAGTCTTGCACAGATGATACATCTAAGGACGCATACTTCCAGGCTTGCTTCGGATGCTGAATCTGACCTACTTTTTGTGGATGAGTGAAAATGTTAGTTTTGATGCACGTTTCATTTCCAATAAACTATGAGCCCTATAATGAGCAAACTTGCATGGATGATACATCTAAGGATGCACACTAATGAACTTGCTTGGATGCTGAATTGGACATACATTTTTCAGATAATAGACAAGGTAAAAGTTATGGTTGCAGGTCTATTACCAAAAACTATAAGGCTTATATAACATTGTATAAACCAAACTTGCACAAATGCTGCATCAAGAGATGAAAACTCTCAAATTTGCTTCAGATGCTGGATTTTCATTACATTTTCATGAAGAAGAAGTAGTTTAAATTTTTTATGTAGGTCTATTTCAAAGTATCAGATCAAAATTGCTTTTAAAAATATTTTCATTTTTGGAATGTATACTCTTTGTTGGTTAATTGTGTGACTTTGCCTTACTTAAAGACAACATTCGTTGAGGTGAGCTCTGTAATCTCTGATTACCTATGTTTTTACTAGAGGAGACAGATTTTTTCAAATTTTACAGGTGCAGTACTATAAGTGAAAGGACCTCTCCAAATGCTATGTGATTTTTTTTACCCAATGACCTTGACCAGGAACTGAAATGCTCTTTGATTTTTTATCAAATGACTTTCAAAATTTTTATCACTCGAACTTTTGCACCAGGTCCAGCAAAGATTGAAAGATATTGAATTATCATAGTGTGATGGACAAATAAAGATGATACAATATGTACACCATAGACTAGTGCAATAAGACTCCAAAAGGGGAAGCGGCACCAATTCGCTTGTGTTTTTGGTTTTTATTAAGTATAGAGATTTTTCCCTAATTTATACTGTAAATGTATTTTATTTAGCTTGTAGAATATTTGGCGGAAATTGATTTTTTTAAAAGTTAGCATAGAGTTGAATTTGCACTTTGTGAATGTGCTTTATATGAATATTTGTAAACAAGATATTTATCGATGTACATGTATTTGATTTAGCAGAAAAAGCTTTCTGCGAAAGGCGCTAAATATATTACACAGTCAAATGTAATATGTTTACAATAATTATGTACAGGGCTCTACATTAACTTTTTTTCTTACTTGTCCATTCGGACAAGTCACCAAGATATTTACTTGTCAGAGCTTCAACTTCACTTGTCCGAAATTTTTCAATGAATATCCTATATTCTGTCAACTTGGAAACTATTACTTGAATTAAAAAATTAAATGTGCCAGATTAATCAGTGTCATTATTGATAAATAAGCCAAACACATATAAACGAAATTTTATCTAGACTTCCTGTCCTGACAACAACATAAACGTTCGCAAGTGAATCTGTAATATCAACCAAATATATTCCAAATCTGCAAATGTCGTAAGATCCATGCCATGCAATAGTATGGCTGCAATTAGTGAACATTGATCCTGATCAAGTGTAAACTTTCATAGCAGTTGATATCGGGATCAAAATTCGGGTTTATGTACTGCTTCCATTTTATTCGATAAACTTTTCAATAATTGTTTTTTAGCTCACCTGAGCTGAAAGGTCAAGTGAGCTTTTCTGATCACCCATTGTCCGTCATCAATCCATCCGTCCGTCTGTCTAGCTGTCTGTCCGTCCGTCCGTCTGTAAACTTTTTATGGCGTCGGGCTTGCCCGATTGTCATCTAGCGATCAGTCAGGTTTACGCGACCGCACGTGTCAGTGGATGCATCCGCAATAGAAAATAGCAACAGCTGTAAACCAATTTCTTTTAAAACGTTCACAATGAACAATAGCTTGAATATAAAATTAAATCAGTTGTATCTTCAATTAATACTACTATAAAAAAAACGATATTATGTTTAATTTTTACGCAAGAAAAACGTTATGGTTGTTGCGGATGAATTTCTACTGAGAGGGTGCGTCGAATGACATGAATCACATTTTGGGACCTATTACTGTAATACAAACAATCTTAAATACAGTAAAATAATTACAAAATAAACACGAATACAGCAAGACTATAAAGATTGAATTTCTTAATCTTAGCTTTACTTTTACGATCTTCAACCCAATTTTAGCCGAACAACCTACGATATTGACCAGTAATGCCAGTATTACTGTATTTATCCATTTCCTCCATTTGTTTACCGCGCCTTACCGTAAGTCGATCGTACTTGTAACATTAGAGTCATGGTTGTAGTTAAGATGCAATCACTATACAACAGAACAACACTCTGACATTGGCAATTAATTAAAATAATTTATGAAACCCTTCATATGTCTTCGATTGACTGAAAAGAAATTAGATTGATATAGAGGATGGACATTTCTGACGATGTCTGGTCAATTCGAACCCTGACTCATTCGGACCAGGACACAAGGCTATCAGGCCCTATATTGTATTTGTGTTAAGACTATTTTTTTAAATTTTATTATTATGTTACTGGAGTCAATCACTTGACCTATTTGCAGATCTTTTGAAATTGTTTTTCTTGTTCGACGCCATTGAAGCCTTTCAGGCTTTTGATTTACATTTTCAACTTCTTCTCAAGAACTACTGGGCCAATTTTAACCAAACATGGTACAAAGCATCCTTGGGTGGAGGGGAATTTAAATTGTTTAAATCAAGGGCCAAGTCCCTTTCCAAGGGAAGATAATCAAGAAAATACAAAAATAGGGTGGGGTCATTAAAAAATCTTCATCTCAAGAACCACTGGTCCAGAAAAGCTGAAACTTATGTGGAAGCATCCTGTGGTAGTGTAGATTCTAAATTGTTCAAATCATGACCCCCGTGGGTAAAGCGGGGCCACAATGGGGAATCCAATTTTTACATAGAAATATATAGGGAAAAAACTCTAAAGATCTTCTTCTCAAGAACCACTGGGTCAGGAAAGCTGTAACGTATGTGGAAGCATCCTTGGGTAGTGTAGATTTTAAATTGTTCAAATCATGACCCCTGGGGGTAGTGCGGGGCCACAATAAGGAATCCAAGTTTTACATAGAAATATATAGGAAAAAACTTTTAAAAAATCTTCTCAAGAACCACTTGTCCAGAAAAGCTGAAACTTATGTGGAAGGATCCTGGAATAATGTAGATTCTAAATTGTTAAAATTATGACCTCCGGGGGTAGTGCAGGGCCACAATAGGGAATCCAAGTTTTACATAGAAATATATAGGAAAAAAACTGTAAAAAATCTTCTTCTCAAGAACCACTAGGCCAGAAAAGCTGAAACTTATGTAGAAGCATCCAGGGGTAGAGTAGATTTTATATTGTTCAAATCATGACCCCCGGGGGTAGGGTGGGCCATAATGGGGAATCCAAGTTTTACATTGAAAGATATATGGAAAAATCTTTGAAAATCTTTCTTTTAAGAATCATTGGGCCAGAAAAGCTGAAACTTATGTGAATCTTGGGGTAGTGTAGATTCTAAATTGTTAAAATCATTACCCCTGGGGATAGGGCTTGGTCACAACTGCTATTACAAAGGGGGGAAATCTGATAAAGAACAGCATGGCCAAAGTTTTTCAGGTGAGCGATGTGGCCCATGGGCCTCTTGTTTTAATTATTATTATTATATGAAGACTTCTTTACATAAAAGAAATTACTTGTCCAATCGGACAAGTACCCAGCAATATTCACTTGCCCGTAATTTTTTTTCATTGGTACCGGACAAGCGGACAAGCATTAATATCGAGCCCTGATGTATTGAGCATATATGTAGGTTAAACGTTTTGCTTTCTTCCTTTGTATGCATGTTATGCTTGCTTTTGATGTCATTATGATCATTGTGGCATTTTTTTAAATTTCAGTTTTGATTCACTTTTTGGATCATCTTCCTCAAGAAGTCGTTCCAGCAGTGAGATATGCTGACAGCCAACTGATGTAAATGAAGAATATTTCTGTGATGTAGAACTCAATATGGCAGCCTCATGGTCAGATTTCCTGCATAAAAAACAATCATACCCATGGACTTCTTACAATTAATTTGTTGCCAATGAAATGTTCTGATGCATCATGGGACCAAAACAGAACTAGTATGTTACAGCTGTAGCAATCACCACTAGGCTATATTGTTTTTTTTCTACAGACATTATTCATGCCATTAACCAGTATGATTATAATTTTTAGGAAATTTAGAAACATATATTGTCTATATTTATATTTATAGGGTAAAGAATTTTGAACATTTATATAAATGGTAGTTTTACATAATTAGTTGAAATCTAATCATACAACTACATTTACTTGACTGATGTTGAATAATAATTGTTCCTTGCCTGTCAAGTTTGTATTTAGTTTAACTTTTTCCCCTCAGAAACATACAAATGAATACTTTTTACCTAAATTTTATGAAGATGTATTATTAGGTCTTTCCACCTTTCTGTGGAAAGACCTATTGATTTTCTTCTGTTTCTTCTTTTCCTTTTTTATTTTTTTTCCACCGTGTGATTTTGAGTTTCAAGATTTATCAAAGAGATTTATAGTCCATAAGAATGTACTCCATAAAAGATTATTGCAGTTGACCCTGTGTAAATGAACCTTGACCTTTTTCGAAGTTATTGCCCCTTTCGCAAGAAATGCTTGTTATCGTTACTCCTCCGAAACCATAAGCCGCAGAGGTTCGAAACCTTTACCAATGTCTATGACTACTTGAGAGGACCTTTCAATCTATTCATTATGAAAGGATTCGTAGACCCCTTCAATGAGTTATTGCCCCTGAAAGTTTTTGAATTTTACAAATAATTAAAAATTTTCAAAACGAGAAGTCGTAGAGACATGGGACCAACTGCATGAGATTTATTGACCTTTGATCTTGAAATTTATGCAAAGGTCAAAGGTCAAGGTCATTCCAAACCTGAGAAATTAAGCTTTTTTTATATCTCTTTTGTCTTTGAACATATGAAATTTGTCTTTGCATCATTAAAATGTACTCTTAAAACCATTTCAAAGATTTCATTCTTGTCCCCTAAGATTGACCCTTTTAAAAGTTATTGCCCCTTGTGCCAAAAACCTTGTTATCGCTACTCCGACGAATCCGTAGACCGTAGAGACACCAAACTTTCACTGATTTCTTAGACTTTAGGCATAACTTCACTGTATGTGTGAAAGGAACTGATGACCCGTTGTATGAGTTATTGCCCTTTAATGTCTTTGTACTTACTATTAAACCTTATAACTTGAAAACTATAAGTTGTAGAAGCATGGGGTCAATTGCATTATGACCCTTGACCTTTGACCTTGAAAAAATTTTCAGGGTCAAAGGTCAAGATCATTTCATTTTTTTTTTTTTTTTTTTTTCTATCCTTTAAGACTAATTTGGTTTCTTATTAATGGAATTTAATTTTAAGGAGTCAGATATAAAACAAAATTGAAATTCAGAGAAGGTGGAAAGACCTCTTATTGTTCTGTGAACAATAAGTCTCCTAGTTTAAGCATGATGTTATTATGTGAAATTGAAAAGTTAGATGAATTAATATTTAGATGTGTAATTTATTTAACAATGCTTAAAAAAATTCAGGTGAAAAAATGTTTTTTTTTTCAGTAGTTTACATTTTTCTTGTCAAGTCAAATTTTCTACTGCTTTTCACAATCTATTGTATTTTTAGCTTTAAAATTTGTGTACATATACAAGGAAAGTAAGCAGATTTTAATGTAACAAGTTTATTAGAATATAAAATTACTGCCAATTTATTCCATGGTTTTGTGAGCTTGTTCTCAACTGAGTGTTGATAATCCAGGAACTACTATATTAACATATCAATTTAGCTTTGTTCAACAAATATGTTTTTTTTATTTCAGCTGATGTCTGCTTAAACCACACAATAATCTTCCTTTAAAATTGTGCCAGTTTTTAGCTCTTCTGAGCCAAAGGCTCAAAGAGCTAATGCTATGGCCATTTGTGCGGTGTGCGGTGTATGGTGTGTGTAAACTTTTTAGAATATGGGCCATAACTCAAGAACCCCTTGGCCAATCAGTACCAAATTTGTCACAGGGTATCCTTGGCCCAAGGGCTACCATTTACTGTAAAAGTGATTATGTTGGCTAAAATAAGGGTTTGGGTGCAAAATAAATGAAAATTTAAAAAAATGAGTTATCCCTTACACCTTTACCAATTTCTGGGGAGATAATCAAATAATTATTAAAGGAAAACAAAACCAAAAGTACTAGTTGCTACAAAAATCTTCTTCTCCAGAACCACCAGGCAGATTTTCACCAAATTTACATACAAGGATCAGGATATGTCGAAGATTAAAATTTGCACGGGGAATTACCCTGGGGCAAAGGGCGTGGTCTCAAGGTCACTTCAAAGTTGACCTAAATTTACAATTAATAAAAAACGTGTATATTTTGCTTACTATAAGGACTAGGATCATCAATTCTTGTAAGTTGATGCATCTTACGACTTCACATCATGTTAAATCAAAAGTAGGTCACGGTGACCTACTTTTTAAATTTTGCGGGGATTTGTTTTCAAATTGATTTGAAGGCATATTTTGGACACTTTAAGGCCTATGATCATCAAACTTTGTCATTTGATGCATCTTGGGTCCTCGAACAATGTCAACTTAAAAGTAGGTCACCGTGACCTACTTTTTGAACTTTGTGACTTATCCTTTTAAAAACATTAAATCCCATTATTTCAGACACTGGGAGGTTTAGAATCATCAAATCTTGTACTTTGATGCATCTTGGGACCTTAAAACATATATATGAAAAAGTAGGTCACTGTGACCTACTTTTTGAATTTTGCCGACATTTGTTTTCAAATTGTTTAAAATGCATATTTTGATTACCTTCAGACCTACGAACATCAAACTTGGTCAGTAGATGCATCTTGGGTCTTTGAAAAATGTCGACCTAAATGTAGGTCACGATGACCTACTTTCGACATTTTATGGCTATATTTAAGTATTTTAGGTATTTATTGGCTTAGAATCATCACACTTTGTGAGTGGATGCATATTTGGTTTTCGGAGAGTGACGACCTAAAAGTAGGTCACGGTGACCTACTTTTGACATTTTATGGCTTTATTTAAGTATCTCCGGTACTTATTGGCTTAGAATCATCAAACTTTGTGAGTTGATGCATCTTGGGTTTTCGGAGAGTGACGACCAAAAAGTAGGTCATGGTGACCTACTTTTGACATTTTGTGACTATAATTAAGTATCTCTGGTACTTATTGACCTAAATTGATCAAACTTTGTCAATTGATGCATCTTGGGTTTTCGGAGAACGTCGACCAAAAAGTAGGTCACAGTGACCTACTTTTGAATATCTCAGGTACGTATAAGCTTAGAATCATCAAACTTTGTCAGTTTAGGCACCTTGGGTTTTCGGAGAACGTTGACCAAAAAGTAGGTCACTGTGACCTACTTTTGACATTTTATGGCTATATTTAATTATATCTGGTACTTATTGGCTGGGAATTATCAAACTTTGTCAGTTGAGGCATCTTAGGGTTTCATTGAATGTCCAACAAGAAGTAGGTCATGGTGACCTAATTTTGAATGTCTCAGGTACTTATTGGCTTAGAATCATCAAATCTTGTTAATTTAGGCATTATGGGTTTTTGAATAACGTCTACCAAAAAGTAGGTCACCATGACCTACTTTTGACATTTGATGGCTATATTTAATTATCTCTGGTACTAATTGGCTTAGAATCGTCAAACTTTTTCAGATGATGCATCTTGGGTTTTCAGAGAATGTTGACCAAAAAGTAGGTCATGGTGACCTACTTTTGAATATCTCAGGTACTTATTTAATTAGAATCATCAGTCTTTGTCAAGTAATGTATCTTGAGTCCTCAGAAAATTTCAATCTAAAGGTAGGTCACTGTGACCTACTTATGGTATTTTATAATTATATTATAATATCTTCAGTCTTAACTGGCTAGATATTATCAAACTTTGTAAGTTGATACATTTTGGGTCTTATGATTCTAATAGAGTTGGAGGCTTCTAATAGAAGTGATAAATTGTACAATTTATCAGAAGAGCGATTCAAGGCCCTTGGGCCTCTTGTTTGCTTATGCGATAGTAATGCGTCCGTCTGTCCGTAAACAATTTTTCAAAATGCTACTCCTCCTACACTTTTGGTCTGATTTCAGTATAACTTGGCACACAAGTAGACTACACAAAGATACTCATTTCTGTATATAGGTTTTTGATTTCAATATCAGTGTTGCCATGGTTACTAAAAATAGAAATTTTTGTGAAATACTTTAAAAATGATACTCCTCCTACAGTTTTGGTTTGATTTCAGTATAATTGGCAAACAAGTAGACTACACTAAAGTATATGATTTTTTGTATTGGTTTTTGATTTCAATGAACGTTGTTGCCATGGTTACTAAAAATAGAAATTTCTGTAAAATACTCTCAAAATTGTACTCCAAGAACAGTTTTAGTCTGATAATTATATAATGTGGCATGGAAGGAGACTACACTGAGATATATAATTTTTTTTTTGAATTTTTTTTTGAATTTTGATGAATGATATTGCCATGCAAACTAAAATTGAAAATACATGTACTGTAAAAGTTTATTAAAAGCTATTCCTACAGTTGTTGTCCTATTGCAATATCTTGCCACAAAAAGAGACGCGATCAAGGATCATTATTCTATTTATTGCTGTTGTAAAGTTTCAAGTCCCAACTGCTACTTTTCTCTTCCTTTGTTATAAGTACAAACCAATAGAGCTTCAGTCTCGACAGAGACTTCTGGTTAATACAGGGCTCTCGATTCTCTATAATTGGGGCCGATATTCGGCCCCATTCCCAACGTGAAAAAGTTACCTTTTTTCCCAAATTTAAGTGTAAAAATTCCCAATGTATGATTGCTTCGAGTTTATTACTGTAACAAAAAAAGCATGTCTTTGACAGTCGTAAAAGCACTGTTAAGATATGAAGGAAACACGTTCGTGTTATGAACTGGTAGTTTGTTTATATGCCGGAACCAGTTTAGAATGAAAACGAAAGTCGTCTGTAGTAAAGTATAGGTCCGACTTCTTCATTCACAACATGTCGCAGAATGTGAAGATCTATGATGTCAGGGCTCAAAATTAATGGAAAATACTCTTTAAATGAGAATTAAAATAAAAAATTGCGAGTTAAAAGCGACCTGTGGTCGCCACCTTTTGCGAGAGAAAAAGGTCTTTAAAAAAATTCAGATTACCAAGACTGAATGAGAAGGTATTTCATTCACTGTTTTGCTATTAGATTCCCTAACAATTAAAAAATAATAGGTACCAAGCTCCTACAGTTTATAAATCCCCATAATCTTATCCATTTTGCAGCACTATACCTGACTTGATTACTTCCAAAAACGATCGTTTTTTTTAAT